TCAAACAATCATAAGACCCGATTTCTCGTATGCGAAAGCAGGTAACGATCTTGACAAGAGTTAGTTACCCGACGTCCTCATTATTATCAATTCAGGCCTCTGTTCAAGAGAGCGAGCGATCGCGAATATTTCTGTTGGAGGTACTACAAGGAATTTTGGTGGGCGCTCGCGAACGTTCGTTCTGTTCAACAGGTCTAAGGTCAGCTTCACTTCCATTCAAGTGAAACGTCCGGGACAATGCACTTACACGTTACCGGCGATTATGTAATTTTGATTAAAAATAAATGTTTTCACAAGTGATTTGTCTGTCTTTTATAATTGTATTTAAAAAGTAAATAAAAGTAAAACAGGGATCTTGAAAACTCTGCGATACGTACGTGCTAAGGTTAAGATGGCGGCAGATAACTAAAGCGTTTGACTTCAGGTTGTTGTTACAGATACCAGACCAACCATCACCTTTAAAGACTTGCACGACATTTTCCTGACTTAAGCGCACATTGTCTGTGACAAAAAATATTTTCATTTTAAAAGCAATTTAATTTTAGAAAGATTCATTTATTTATGCCTTCCATATGCCAAACTGAAGGTTTTAAAGATATTGTTTCCCACAACTTTGTTATTTTTCTGCTAGAAATCAAAACTAAGAATTTAGATGTAAATATGCTATATATTAATGACATAAAGGTAGGGCATAAAAATTGGAAGATAAATTATCAAAATTGAATAAAAAGTTTCCAAACTTATCAAGATTTCATGGATGGCAATACTTTAAGAGAATAAACATATCTTAATTCTTCAGCAGAGAGAATAACATGTTCCTTACCTGTGCAATTGTGCTCTGATTGCGTAAAATTTTTTTTGCAAATGCATGATACTTTATTTGATTCCTCATAGCAATCCGAAACGTTCAAGTTGCAGGTATGAAGACCAACTTGGCAGTTGCAGGAAAACCCGGTATACCTTGGCTTACAAACACATTCTCCAGTCTCCATATCGCAGGATTCTGTATTATAGGTGTTGCACGGACAGTCTTCTTCACAATTGTCACCATATTTCATGTGAGGGCATTCTAAAAACATTTACTTTCTTGAACAATAGACCCTTTCACAATAACTGCAGTACTGCTCTTTTGCAGGGCAGAATGGTACATTTTGGTGAAATATGACGTAAAAGTAATTGTTTAATATACGTCATTTAATTATCTATCAAAAAAAAATCGCCAAACGTTATCAATTTGCCCTGCAAAATAGTACTGCAGTTATCGTGAAGGGGCTAATTATAAATTAGTAAAATATATACAGAAAATGAGGAAAAAAATGACCTTGAAAACATGTCTTTGTTTTAAGAAAGTGCGATTTATGAAATTGTATCAAATTTAACAAATATAAAGGATTTATAAAGTAACTGATAAGGTTTATTTTTGCGAAATTTTAAGTAAAACAATTTCTGGCCAAAATGGTTTCAATTTTTAAAAAAGCTTTATTTCATGTAGAATATTTCTTTAAACATAAAATGGTAAAGATCGAGTTTTACAAGGCTGTCAGAAACATCGGTATTGTTTCAAATATATAATATGTTTGGAATATGCTTGAATAGTATGTCATGGGTAGCTTTAGGTTGCATCAATGACCCTTGTTTTCATTTGAAGAATTCTGATTCCAGTATGTCATAAAAATATTAACAGTGAAATGTAGTACTTCACAGGAACAACCCAAACCACACTCTCTCTATTAATTGATGACAGTGAAGTGATTTCGTGTATTAGTTAATAACAAGAGGCCCGGGGTCACATTGATCACCTCAGCACACCGGCTAGGAAAAAGCCCAAATTAGATCACAATTGAAAAGTTTACTGAGGGGTTGGGGGAGTGGTATTGAATTCTTATACTATTTGAGAATGCCTCTATTTCAATACTGCATATAACTTCTTGAGAAATTTCTTAAGAAAAAGATTTCTTTTAACATTTTGTTTGTATATATTACTTTGTAATAATTTGAATTTGACTCAACATTTTTTCCCTCTCTACCCCAAAGGGTACTCATGATTGAACAAATTTAAATCTTCAATACATGAGGATGCTTACGTGTCAATTCGACTGAACATTGCTTAACTGTTATTGGGATTTTTTCCTTTTATTTAATATTTTCCTATGTAAACTTTGATCCACCTTTTAAACCTTTCTCTACCCTAGGGGGTTATGATTTGAACAAAGTTAATTCTACACTACCTGAGGATGCTTCCATATAAATAGCAATAATTATGGCTTTGCTATTCTCTAGACGATTTTTTAAATATATTTTAATGTAAAATTTGGATCCCCCCTTGTGGCCCCACCCTATCTCTGGGAGGTTATGATTTGAACAAACTAGAATCTACAATATCTGAGGGTGCTTTCATATAAATATCACTAATCATGGCTTCGCAGTACTTGAGAAGGTATTTTTTTTAAGATTTCCCTATATATACCTTTGTAAAACTTTGATCGGCCCAATCCTATCCCTTAGGGTCATGATCTGAACAAACTTAATAGACACTACCTGAGAATGATTCAACATAAGTTTCATATCTTTTGTCCCTATGGATCTTGAGAAGAAGATTTTTTTTAAAAATGCCATTAATTTTTCATTAATTCATAATATCTCCCCTTGGAAGAGGGCATTGCCCTTCATTTGAGCAAACTTGAATCCCCTTTACCCAAGGATATACCCAAGGATACTTTGTGGCAAGTTTGGTTGAAATTGGCCCTGTGGTACTTGAGAAGAAGATAACAAGAAGTCTGTGAGCCAATGCTCACTAGTAATACCCCCGCTCTAATGCAAATAAACACTATCATATTAATATAGTCAAGTTCAATTACAGGTAGATGAACAGAACAATATATGACGATGGCATCAGATTCATATCAAAATTAATCCCACCATATGGCACGCCTCAATAAAAAGTGTACTAAAACTTCAAACATCTGCTATGAAAAGTTAATGAGAAAAACTGTAAAGAAAATCTGTTATGTATGAAACAGACGCATAGATATCTATCCCACCATATTGCATGCCTCAGGGAAAATTCTGCGACGAGAAGTTGCTGAGAAAACTGCGACAAAAACTTGTTTTGTATAAAACGGACAGACGCACAGACAAACAGGGCGTTGATATCGGATTTGAACACAGATGTATCCCACCGTATGTATGGCATGCCTCAGAGAAGATTGTGTTAAAATTTCAAGCTTCTACGATGAGTAGTTGCTGAGAAAACTGCGACGAAAATTTGTTACGGACAGACACACGGACACACAGACGGACGGACAGACAGACACACAAGGGTAAAACAGTAATACCCTGCTCAGCTTCGGAGTGATGGAATAAAAATGTGAAAAGATTTAGCAAAAAAAAGAGGAAAATTCATTGTTTAAAAGACCACTTTCATCCATGTCAAGAGTTCAATGTTTGTAATTGTTTAAAAAAGAATCCGTTTTGCGATCAAACTATATTTACAATTGAATTTTAACCGACATAAGAAATCTCGAGAATTTTGAGTAATCAAATAAGAGTTCTTTCTACCATAGTTATTTATGAACTAATTGTTAAATGGTGTTTTACCACTATCACAAGAGATTTCAACCTTGGCATCCCCATAACAATAGCTCCCATTGTCAGCAGAGCAATCGGACAGAGTTTCCTCATCACCGTTACAATTGACATATTTCAGGTGCGTTTTGGAACCATAAGATACACGTCCAGATTTTTCTTGCACGTATTTCCTGTTTTAAAAGGAAAGTATTCAAACATACTGAAACTAACAAAATCAACTTTGCTTAAACCTAATAAAATTTAATATCAGTCATTCAAATGTCTGATTGCTCAACAATTGAAACAGTTATAATTTGGCTAATGTACTTTATTTTATTTACTATTTGTAGGTTAAAATATATTTTTACTTTTTTTTTTTACTTTTGTAATATTTTTAAATTTTAAATATTATAATTTTTGTAAGGGAAACTTCCTTTTTCAACGTTTTTATCATTTTAGATAAATCCTTTCATCATTTTTAAAAGAATATATTGAAACAAAACACAAGTGTAAAATTAATCTCTTACGTTGGCAATCCCAGTTCACGACAGGCAACTTTAGCTTCATTTTCACCAAATCCACTTCCACAAACATAACCCCATTCTTTGTTGTGATACACTTGTAGAATTCCACTTGTTTCTGTATTAGTTGTTTGTTTCGATAACAGCTGTATCCATGGTGCTAGTGTTATAAGAAACATGCCTCTCATTGTCCATAGTTTAAAAAGCCGAAATCACAGCAAAATTTTATTTTTCTTTTGCAAGACTGATTCACCCAAAAAGAAAACGAGAAGAAAAAACATCCCACGAACCTCGGTGGTTGTCTAATTATAGCTGATTGTGAGATTTAAACAACTTGCATTGACCAAGGAAAAAAAAATTTTGCTCTCTCTTTTGCATAAATAATTAAATATCGATCTGAATCTCAGCTAGGTTTCAGATAAACTAAGTTTTCATAGGTTTCAAAAACTGAGTAGTATTTTAAAACTTTAGTCTACTGTTATGAATAATGAATTTGCATTAGATGTTACAGACTTTGACTGTTGACAAGTTTAAAAAAAAACACTTACTTTGAGAAGCAGAAAAGGATATATTTTTATACGCCATCGTTCCGTAAAAAAAACCAAAGTACCATCTAGATTTTAAACCGAAATTACAATTTAATTTCTGTATTTATAAAACATAAATTCTAGTAAATTAAAAAAAAAATGGGGGAAAGGGACGGGGGTGACGACTGTCCACTAAGGAAGCAATGGTATATGTAAATACCTGTTTTAAAACAGTTGATAATTACCATTGGGACATGCTATTGCAGCAGGACGTACGTTATAACAGTATGTGCTGCTGTCATATTCTCTTTCACAGTCTAGAAGACTTTGTTCTGTTCCATTGCAATTAATATTAGACCATTTGAAGTAGGAACTTGGTAAAGTGTCTATATTTCTAATTAACTGAGCATAATTCCTGAAAAATGATCAAAAACCAATCAAAGTAAATTCTTTAAAGCTCAAACGCTTGAAAATTAAGATGTAAATTAAATTAAAATCATCCTTGATTTTTATTATTTTAATTCATTACAAAAATTACACTTTTTTCTCATTTAAATTCAAAGAAAAAATTCATAGATTTAAAAAAGATCTTAATGACCTCTTGATATTTTGCTTATTCCTCAGTAAAAATGTTTCTTCTAAACTACTTTGCATACCTGGGTATGTCTGATTTAATATTTTTGGAAATTTAAAAGAAATCACAATTAAAAAATACCAAGGCAAACCAAACTCTCGACACACAACTTGGATATCCTTTTTAGTCATTCTGTTTTTACACACTCCTCCCCAGGACCCTGACCGATATATTTCAACCGTGCCTTGATTGGAGGAAGTCAAATTGACCAACCGTACATGTTCCTCTTTTTAAATACAATAAATATATACTGAATATACAAGTGTATAGTGTATTAGTAATATTTCACATTCATAATCTAAAATATTCTATTAATTAAAAAATCTGGTTAACAAAACAGGTACATACTTAGACATTTTTCATTTTTGTACTCGTCCTCTGAAAATCCAGGCTTACAGAGACAGACTGCATTGCCCAAGCTATTTGTGTGGCAGATTGATATCTTTGGATTGCAGGTGTGAACACCAGTGATACAATTACAGAAGTCACCAAAGTACCCCGATGTACAATTACATTTCCCCGTGTCCTCGTTACAAAATGTACTGGTAGTCGTGTTACATTCACACCTCTTCTCACAAAAATCTCCATGGGTCCATTTAGGACATTCTACATGAATAAATACAACGGCAATATTTGAATTTGATAATAGAGTACAAAACTTCAGTTGTAAAACATATACTTAGTATATACTAGGGTTGTCCGGTAAAATCGTGGACAAAGCGTTGTTCTCGAAACATAATGTGCGCACTATGCTGCAATTTTCAGTAAATGTCTATTTATCATATTGAATTGCATCATAATTTTTGGATAAAATATAGACAATAATGAAGATTTTATTATATTTGAATGTGCACAGGGTACCGTCCTATGGCGCACGGTCAAAAAACAAAGGTTTTTTCAGAGAATACATGAGCATTGATTCAAAATAAAAAATTTAAATAGATACGATTAGGGTAAAAATTATCATTATACGATTCATCAATTTATTTTGTTATCTTGTAAAATTTTCCTTTCATTAGGTTAATTTTTGTCAGTTTCCTGAGGATTCGAAATGAGAAAGTGGGAAACACAACACACGAAAAATAGTGACGTTTGATGACGTTACGGCACACCGGAGACCAGTTCAGTTTGATGTACATGTTTTAATAACATCCTAAGAGACTTTATATGAATACAGAAAAAATATATTAAACAATCACTAGTTCTTTATAGAAATGAAATGGGACTTTTCTTAGTGAAGTCGTTCTTCGTCAAGTCCCTATGTAGTACAAAACATAGGGACAAACTGCTATGGTGATAGCAAAAGACTATGTCACTGTTGACCGTCAATATGATTGTCTATTAGTTGAATAATGGTGGCAACATTGTCCGTAACTTACTAATAAATCTTTAGAATCGCATGTTTGTGCCAGACTAGTTCCTCAACTGTTTATGAATCGAAACGCTTACTAATGAAAGTATGTGCATCAATGAAATTACTTAATTTAAGTGACATATCCAACTTTATTTTTAACGCAAAGATTAAATGTAAAGCTGTTTTAGACATTTTGACGTTATCATCCATGCACCGTAAGGCGATACAATACATGAAATAAAATATCATAATTTGTTTATTTAAGCGTATATCAATCTGAAATTGTCTATGTTTTTTCGGAAAATATGTACCAAAATGTAGTGAAAATTTCAGAACGCAGTGATAATTATTATTCACGCAGGACAACTTGTCCACGATTTTACCGGACAACCCACGCATAGTTAGAAAAACGTGTTATTACAATTTAATTCAATGTATGAATAAAAAAAAACAAACTCCCAATGAGGTAATATATACAAAATTAAATCTGTTTCTAACAAATTAAAAGTGGATATCCCGATATGGTCATGTTGATTTCTGATCAGTTACAATTTACTTCAACTCAAGCAAATGCAAGTCCTATCATAAATGCCTTGATTTTACAAATAGAATGAGTAAAATAAAGTCGTTTTCAAGGTCTATTTTTCATTTGACTCTAAGCGATAAACTTTTTTTATTGAGATGAAAAAGGTGCAAGACAAAAATTTGCAAGGTTTCTATCATTGACAAAATTGAACGCAAAAGCAATTCTTACTAAGTTTTAATTAACATCTTGAATTAAAATTTTTATTTCTATAATTATCAATGATAAAATAATTTTCTTACTATGTTAAAGAGCTTGCTGAGCAATAAGTAGAGTTGTCTGATTCTTTTCAAGAGTGCATGTATAAAAGAGTAAAAATAAACCGTAATCGATCGGGTAAAAATAGCAATGTTAACGTGACAAAAACATAGATGCCAGGAAATTCTTAAACATTTCCTATTACTATATAAATGAGAAAAAGTAAAAGTTGGAAAAGCTGACTCAGAAGTAGTATCATTGTTCATTTGTCTTAACGGTCTATAGTTAGTAGAACATCCAGAATTGCACTTTGTGGGGTGTTTTTATCAATTTCACTAGAATAGATCGAATCGATATAATATTGTTGTTAATTTGAAAAGTTCACAATATATATATAGTTTTTGATAATATATTTTCGCGGGTATTAAAAAGTTGGCTTGTAGAGGAACATAATGTTTTCAACGGAATTCCAACGAATAGCTTGGAGACTTGAAAGACAGTTATCAATTGGAAAATTTAGCATTCTTTTAAAGAAGGATATGGAGATAACGAACCGTATTCAGTCTCAAAGTCCATAAAACAATACAAAATAAGAGCAGAGCAAACACGGACCCCCGAAACATCAGAGGTGGGATCAGGTGCCATGGAGGAGTGAGCATCCCATGAAAATCAAGTGAACAGAAAAGTTTATTTTTAAGTATTTGATGGGCAGAAGAATTTCGATGTTTTAAATATACATGTATGTATGTATACCGGAAAAAAAGACACCTCGATCCTTTTAATCACATTTTTAATCATAAGTCTATGTAAAATGACGGTTATATTTCTGTGCCTTCTCAATATAAATTTTAACAGTTACTACTGTTTTTAAAAATAATTGCTTTTTGTCTAAAAATGAAGACACCGAAAATATTCATAGTTTGTGATTGGTGAGCAACAAAATAACTTATTATAAAACAATGTCTGATTCTACATTCTAAATGAAGAAGTTGATTTTAAAAGAATGCCAGATTTTCCAATTGACAACTGTCTTTCAAGTCTCCAAGCCATTTGATTCCGATGAATTCATTATGCTTCTCTATAAGCCAACTTTTTTTAATACCAGCAAATTTTATATTATATATATATATATATATATATATATATATATATATATATATATATATATATATATATAATATATATATATATATGTAGTTAAAGTTTTTAATTAACATTTTCTTCCACTATATACCGACTTAAACCATTCTAAGGAATTTCAATTTAACGGCACCAAAGATTCTATGAAATTTGATTCAAATCTGGATGTTTTTTCTTACTATAGACTGTTAGGGCAACTGAACAACTAAACTGTATGCAATTTCTGTTAACTGATAAATATACACAGTAGTCCTAAAATGTAATCGATCTGCAATGCCTTACCAGAAAAACACTTCAGGTACACATCTTCGTCATGTGAACAGTAGGATCCGTGCGTGCTAAATCCCTCACACTCGGAGAGACTTGTCTCATTCCCGTTACATTGCAAGGTGTACACAATTCCTAGGTCATAGGTGTTTCGAATTCTTTGGCCATACTCTCTGGTTTTATATACCGCGTATCGACTAGAAGCAGATAAATGAAAAATTTCACTAATGCGGAACATTGAAGTTTTAATGATTTATCTTTAATGAAAATCTCAATGTAGTAAAATACGTGGTATTTTTGTTTCTAAAGGTCTGGATGTTCATTTACAGTTTGAGTTCTAAAATAAAAAGAGTATTTTCTTAAGATACATAAGTTCGAATAGCATACCTAAAGTCTTCAGTTAAATTTGTATTAATTGTCATTATATCTCTTAGTCAAATGATGCATTTATTTGAATGTTATATAAATCATGTTGTCCTCTTGAGAGGGATTAAAACTCTCATATTTCTAACAGGATAAGCCTATTTTCAAATTGTTTTGTCTTTCGCTTTGAAAATCCTACAAGCGGACAAATTCTAACATCCAGAAATAATCATCAAAATACAATTGTTGCCCGCTTGGCGCCGTGGTAAGAGCGTCTGCTCTAGAGTCGCGAAGTAAGGCGTCAATTCTTATGTCGCGGGTTCAAATCCCAGTGTGGGACGTGGAGTCCGGTCCTTCAGATGAGACCGTATAAACCGAGTTCCCGTGTCGCAGTTAGTGCTGGCACGAAAAAGACCCCGCATTGCTTAACGGCCCTCAGTGCAGAGTATAGAACAAAATTTGTAGTTCTCCACCCACAAGTGGTAGCGTCTCCATATGAGTGACAAATTCTCGAGAGCGACATTAAACAACATACAATAAATCAAAATAAAATTTATGAAGTTACCATACACCTACTGATTTTTCTTATTAAAAAGGAATAATTTCCTAGAAATTTCTGCGAATGGACTAATCCCCGTGCATTAGTCAAATGAGCTAATCCCTGCCTCGGAAACTAATTCCCGGTTATCCGTAATCCTCTAGATTTTACTTTTGTATCGGTCTAATATGTTAATGGACTAATCCCCGTGCGTTAATCCGGAAGCTAATTCCCCGTTTTTCGTTATCCTCTATTCAAGGTCTTCAGTTTCCAACGTAAGACCTTCTACTGATTCTGTTGGTATAGATTATTATTCTTTTTTTTTCTTCTTCTTCCTACACGCCAACTTTAAAGCCTCATATCTCACTCATTTCTCAATTGATTTCGCTCAAATTTACAGAAATACTTCTAAACTCTATCAGAATGCTGTCGAATATTTCATAAAGTCACTTCTGTTTCTGAGTTATTCATCCTTAAACAAAAATTTATAGGCTTTCGTTTCCAGACAGAGGCTTATAGACGGCTAAAGCTGGAGCAGAAATCTACTTATTTAAGAAAATAGAAGCATTGAAGTTGTGCATATCGGTTTTTGTTTTTCAGTTTCTCTATTCAAAATGGCGCTATACAGGGGTCAAAATTAGAACGCTTTAAAGAGCCAAAAATTACTCATATTTTGCTTTTTATCTTCTAAACTAAAACTATTTTGTTAAGATATATAGAACATAATTTGTGCAGAATTAGATCTTTTAAATGATATCTCGGGAAAAGGGCTGACCCCTAAATTAAGGGATCTAAAGGGGTTAAAATTTTTTTTCAGATATCTCAAAAAGTATTCAGAATTTGTTATACATCAAAGAAGCAAAGTTGTTGAAAATCTCTGGTAAATCTACTGATGTCATCAAAATACGTCCCTGTGACGTCACTTCCGGCCCCAAACCGGAAGTAGTCTGAAACTGCAATTTTGCCGTTTTTGACATGTTTTGGGAAATATTTTCACTGGAAGCATGAAACTTAACTGGACGTAACAAAAATGGTTTTTCTTTTGCAATTTCCTACATAGATTTGGTAGATTTAAATCATTAGAGAAACTGGAAGCATGAAACTTAATAGGATGTAACAAAAAAGACTTTCCTTTTGCAATTTCCTTCATAGTTTTGGAAGATTTAAATCATTAGAGACGTCATTTCCCTTTTTTAAAAAAAAAGTTACTTCTGGTCAAACAGGACGGAAAACCTACTCGTTGCTTTGCAACAAGCTTTGATCTAGTTTATTTTACTTCTATATCGGTATGATAAAACAGTTAAAAGAACTTGGGGATATTGCAAAATTCCAGTTCCCCTCAATCAGGCTTATTTTCCTCGGCGAAACAGTCAAGGCCTTGGGAAACTGGAACCTTTATTTCCGTGAAAACTGGAATTTGCTAACTCCCTCTAAGATATACTTTAACTGTATAATAAACTGCAAATGTTGGACTTTTCAAAAGATTAAAATAAAAGATATTTTTGTGCATACTTCGGAAGATTAAGATGTCTGCATGCTACGCGGGCATCATATTTTGTGAAGCTATCGTCACAAAATGTATTCCATGATCGATTCTGGTAGATTTGAAGAACTCCTTCACTACCATTGACTTTTCCATAAAATCGTATTGAATCTGAAAAAAAGTGCCGATACTGGAATAATACTTATAATATAAAGTAGAACAAGAGGTCAATGGGCCACATCGCTCACCTGATCACTTTAGCTAGTTCAATATTTTACGAGTGATATCAACCTATCCCTAAGGGGAAAAGGCATGAATTGAAATTGAAGTTACATGTACACTACCTGAGTATGTTACCATATTGCCTTGATAAATAAATAGGGATGTTAACGAATAGACAAATAGTCGATTGTCAGTTGAATGAAGCGACGATCGAATAATGAAACAACATTCAAATATTAAATAAATGCAAGAAAAGGGAGTGATATTTTCATCTCAAAATTGAAAAGGGGTCCTTCCTCAAACTTTACAGCTGTATAGTGTATGATCTCAGACGAATAAGAGCTCAAACACAGTCACAGTATATCAATAATTTTCCACATTGTACATATGGAAAATACAGTAATTACATACCGGGATAATTATTTCTTAATCACTGACTTTTTTGTAATTGTACGTATTAAATTATGCCACGCTATACTGGACTATGAAAATTATTTAATCGACTCGTACCAATCATATTTATGAACTCTAGGAATTTCACATGCTTAGGAAAACAGAATAATTGCATAGCCATGAAGTTTTGAAGTTCGATCATTATAACACAATCATCTAACATAAAATACCATTTGATATGATGTATAGCTTGGGCAACCACTAATTGAACAAACAGTATTTAACATTTTCATCGGAGGTGTGGGTAGTGTGCGTTTACTATTCCCCATTTCCATTTTTTTTTAAATTTCCAATATATTTTAATTAATAAGCTTTCAAAAAAACTGTGCCATAAAAAAATACTCAAAATAGTCGACTATCGTTCGAATAATGCAATCGAATGTTCGACTAAGGAAAAGTTTTATATTGACATTCCTATAAATCAACAATAAAAGTTTGAAAAAAATATTATTTTACTAATCTTCTATTTCGGCCCCAACTATACATCGAAGTTATAATTTGAACAACTTGAATTTACGCTTCCTAAAGGGGTTTCCATATAAGTTGATCAATCATTGCTCTACTGTTGTTAAGAAATTTTTTAAAAAATTATTTTTCTGCGTATTCTTAATGAAACTTTGAAGGTTCATTATGGCACCACATAGCCCCAGGGGCTCGTTTTTTTTTAAAAAAAAATCTTTACTTTACACAAACTTCAGATGTTTCCACATGAGTTTCAACTTTCCTGGCCCCATGGTTTAGGGAAAAAATGGTTTTTCTAATGTTTATTTAAAAAATCCCATTTTTTATGTAAAACTTTGATCTCCCTTGTAGCCCCGCCCTTCCCTAAGGGGTCATGATGTGAACCAATATCAATCTTCACTACCTAAGGATGCTTCCATATAAATGTGAACAATAATGGCTTTGTTGTTCTTCAGAAGAATGTGAAAGCTTTTTCACATATATTTCTATGTAAATCTCTGATCGTCCCCTGTGGCCCCGCCCTACCCCGGGGTCATGATTTGAACAGCCTTTATTATTTACAAATGTACTACCTAAAGATGGTATGACCAATCATTTCTTTCATGTTCTTGAGAAGATTTTTAAAGGTTTTTCCTATATATTTCTGTGTAAAATTTTGAACGTGCCTTGTGGCCCCGCCCTCAAAGGGGTTCATGATTTGAAAAAAAAAAAATCAATCTACACTACCTGTGGATGCTTCCATATAAATAAGATAACCCCCCTGTTCATGAGAAGAAGATATTCAAAGATCTTTGCCATATATTTCTATTCGAAACTATGTTCGTTCCTTGTGGCCCCGCACTATCCCAAAGGGGTCTTGATTTCAACTAACTTCAATCTACACTACCTGAGGTTGTTCCCACATAAGTTTCAACTTTCCAGGCACAGTTCTTGAAAAGAAGATTTTGAAAATATGCCACAACATTTTCACTCTTGCTAAATTATCTCCCCTTGAATTAGGGCATGGCGTTTCATTTTAACAAACTTTTACCCAAGGATACTTTGTGGCAAGTTTGGTCAAATTGGCCTAATGGTTTTTGAGAAGAAGTCGAAAATGTGAAAAATTTACAGACAGACAGACTACAGACAAAATATGATCAGAAGAGTTCACTTGAGCTTTCAGCTCAGTTGAGCTTAAAACTGTTTATCTAAAAGAAATGCTTTTCTTGACAAATGTGTATTTTTATAAAATCATACGACTTTTTGTTCTGGGCATGCTTTAATCGAATTTTAATGTATAATACATCTATTCAGTCAATCTCATGATTTAGAGAGAAAGCAGATATATATTACCTGTACAGCTTAGGCCCTTTCTATTGTACTGATCTCTACAATAACAGGTTGAGCGGGGGGTTCCACAAAAAGCAATGTCTGCATTGCAGACATGTGAACCCTGAACACAGTCACAAGTGTCACCATAGTAACCGGGTTTACAGTTGCATTCCCCTGTAGTTTTGTTGCAACTTGTGGACTGTTGTTGATTGCACTTGCATCGTTTGCAAGTTGGGCCATACAGAAAATCAGGACAATCTGAAATTGTATACAATTATCAGAAATAATACAAACATCTTTCCTGACATCACCGGGGAGTATAGATCTATTTTCGTTTAATTTAAAGGTTAACCAGGAACTTACTATTCTTTAATTACAGGAAATGATTTTACAGTCTATGATTTTAGCGAAAGAGAATACTTACAAATTTTAAATTTTCGAGGAATTTATTATTTTTGTGAATTTCAATAAAAGTATAGACTAGAACCTGACAATGATAGATCCAGAGGATATTTAAAGTAATCTGCTTGCTTACTCGAATCCACCAGACCCACTTTTTATGACAACTTTAGGTTCTATTGACTATCATCGTCGGAAACCCAGGGGTGATCTCGTCTTTACTTATTACGTGATAAAATTGACTATAAGGGTTAAGACTACTGTAAGCCAACTTTTATTCGTGTGTGGACAAGTATTCGCGATTTCCGCGACCTACTTTTTCTGCAGATAATAATAGCCGTTAACAAAAAAAATTATAAGTATTTGTAGTTCATGTTTCCTCGGTCGCAAAAACTAGTTGTCACGTATTGATTTCAAACTAACGAATCGCGCATCAAAGATGACGAAAATAAGTGTTGGTTTACAGTATTATTTCACGATCAGGGTGTGAAAATGAGATAATGAAGAGCTAACAACGTCAAAGTTAATTTCTAACTTCTAACGTTTACTTTGTAAGCTAGAGAACTGTTTCTACATCTCTGTTGAACACGTACACGTACGCCGTCGACTTCGCTTCATATACTAAAAAGATATTCACAGTACCATGAATTGATCAAGAATCCTCTAAACAAAATTATTTTTGGCAGAGCTTAATGCTATCTTCTAATATTTCTTACACAAATCTTGGTGGCTTGTCAGATATTTATCCGGCAGTGATTTGCCATTTCATTTTTGCATAACAAAGCGTGCTACAGCCATTTTGTCGTCCATCGCTTTCGTGATGTTAGGGATAAATAACGAGATAGTGTAGAATAGCTTAGAGAAAACATTCTCTGCGAGGGCCGAAGACCCGAGGAGGAGATTTTTTCTCTAAATTATTCGATACTATCGAGTTAATTATTTTACTTTAAAAAAATCCCTAATTTGGGCCCCAAAGAAACATTTACACATTCAAATATCCAACTGTGACACAAAACAATAAAATAATCGAACATCCCCATTTATTCATGGACAAGTGAACATTAAACTACATAATGCTGATGTCATTTCAACCCATATCATTATACTAAACAGACGAAGAAATCAGACAAAGAAAAATTTTTTAATCCAAAATAAATTAGAGAGGTTCAGATTGTGTTTTGAATACTGAGTACTTTTGACCTGAAAGCTGAAGAAAACTACAGAGTTTTGATAAAATGTTGAGAATTTGTCATTACATATTATAAGATGTTGGTTTGTTTAGGGAAAGTGTTGGATTCTTGTGGAGTTCCATTTGGATAATGCTTGTAGTAGACTACTAGTGCTTAAACAGATAAAAAGATTATCACTGTTATGCGGAACCTGCTTTAAAAACATTCCATATCAAGATCTGTATAAAAACGGTGTAAAAATAGATGGGCTGTCAATTAATTAAACTGTTTTGGGAAGTACGAAACAGAGATGAATCTTGGATAATCTGAAGGGATTTACTAATAACGGATCCTGAAATAATATTCAGCAATAAGAAGTGATGTAGTTTAGATTCAGGGTGAAAATGTATTTGTCAAAAAGTGATGCTTTCAAAATGTAAGACAGAAAACATGCAACGTGCAAAATTCGGAGGAATTCTTATTTCTGTGAGCCTTGGAAGTGAATAAATGTGATAAATGTTAAGTAATTGCAGTAATTACGTGTGCACTGGAAATAAATTCTAATAGTGTGGCACATTTGGAGTAATTGTTTGTGCATTGGAAACGCATTTTAAAATTGTTCATCTCTTTTGTTCATTGTTTATTTTGGTCTTATGCACCTCAGTTAAAATATTCAACCGAAAGGCAGTTGAATATTTGAATATACAGCTGATGGGAAGTTAGATCTTTAAATATCAAACTAGTGCTGGTTGAATAGGTAAAATATATATACGTAGACCAATAACAATGGGTGACGTCATAGAAGTTTTTTAAAGCACGTATATAGACGTATGTACTTCATGAGAGAGAGAGGGGGTGTTGCAACCACTATTGAAATAACGACCACTATTGAAATAATTATATCAATAGTGGTTAAGAGTGCATTTCAATAGCAAACATAGTTAATAATCACTATTGAAATACGACCACTATTGAAATAATTATATCAATAGTGGTTGAGATTGCATTTCAATAGCAAACATAGTTAGTAACTACTATTGAAATACGACCACTATTGAAATAAATATATCAATAGAGGTTGAAAGTGAATTTCAATAACAAACAAAGGTAATAACCACTATTGAAATACAACCACTAATGAAAATAATTATATCAATCGTGGTTGAGAGTGTATTTTAATAACACTCATAGGTAATAACCAAACACACACATGTAATAACCACTATATTGAAATACGACTATTATTGAAATAATTATTTCAAAAGTAGGTGAGATTCATTTCAATAACAAGCATATGTTGCAACCACTATTGAAATAATTTTCACTTTTGAAATAAAGATTTCAATATGGATTTAATTATGGTTTTAGTTTTGTAATATTATCAACAACTATCAAAATGATTATTTAAATCACTTTTGAAAATATAATTTCAATAACTATCTACATGTAAATCTTCATTTAAGGACAGATGATACAAACAAAATATGGATGCCTGGATTGGTATATATTTTTTGGTCTGATTTCATTGAAAATGATATATATTTCTAGAATATAAAGAAATTGTAAACCTTCCTTATCAATTTATACACTTTAATTATTAATCTATATATTTTTCACACATAATCCAATTTTTGTAAAATTTGGTATAAAAAAGTTAAAAATTTCGCGGTGAAACTTTTCTTTCAATACTGGTCGTATTTCAGTAGTGGTTGAAACTTGAAACCTATGTTAATCTTATTGAAAATTAAAGCACTCTTCCCCACTATTAGATAATTATTTCAATAGTGCTCGTATTTCAATAGTGGTTGAAACCTATGGTTAACATATTAAAATGCTCTCTCACCCACTATTGAAGTAATTATTTCAATAGTGGTCGTATTTCAATAGTGGTTAATATCTATTTTGTTATTGAAATACACTCTCAACCACTATTGATATAATTATTTCAATAGTGGTCGTATTTCAATAGTGGTTACTAACTATGTTTGCTATGGAAATGCACTCTCAACCACTATTGATATAATTATTTCAATAGTGGTCGTTATTTCAATAGTGGTTGCAACAGGGGGTATACATGTAACTGTAATCTATGTATTTGATTCCCCCCTTTATTTTTATCTCTATTCTAATTGTCAACTAAATTTTGTTTTCAGATTTCTTACTAGATAAAGTTTACCTGATCGACACTCCAAAACTGCCAATGATGAATAACTTGACATATAGCTAGATGTGCTAAATCTGCATTGGGATACTTCTTTTTCGTCTCCTGTACAAGATAGGTAAGTAATCCTTTTCCTGTTATTATAATCACTGTACATAAGTCCTGTCTGACTTCGTCTCGTCGATACGTATGACATATAAAATCTACAAAAAATAATTCAATTATTGCAAATCTCTCTCTCTCTCTCTCTCTCTCTCTCTAGCCGCTCTCTGTAGTTCTCCGAAAAAAATATATTGAATGTCAGACTGGAGAGTAGCTGCAGATCCTCTCCCCCCTCTCTCTCTCTCAGCCGCGAAGTGTAGTTCTCCGAAAAAATATATTGAATGTCAAACCGGAGAGTAGTAGCAGAACAGATCCAAACGCTGTAAAACCCTTCGATTTACGCCGCCATTTTTGGGTCGCTCACTTTGTGATTTATTTCTGGTGCTTTTTCAGAATGATACCTTTCAAAGAACATTCTTTTGCCCCCAAAAAGGAGTAATACACATGGTAAATTATCGTATGCTGTGTGTTCACTAAAAACCAAAAAAAGACTTACGATGGTAAACCCAACTGAGTGCAAATAATTTTAGATTCCTTGTTATCCCAGCTGTAACTGGAGCCGATCAGCATCCATTGACCCTGATGATACATTTGCAAAACTCCGGTATCCCTGATGAATCTTAGTGATTCTAAAATGTTAACAGTAAATTATATAATTTGAAGTCTCTATTCTAATTTAACGTTTGAAACTGTGCCCAGAGTAATTAAACAAAATGTAGGCAAGAAAATTTTCAAAATTATTATAAAAATGTACCTAGTACTTCACAGATCACGGAGGACATTTCATTCTTTCATAGAAAAAATTTCCATAAAACGAATTAAAATACAAAAAAGAAAATATTAGAGGGAAAAGAAACACTGCATGATAAAATTTAGCGATTTTATGAGCATCGCCAACTATTAGAGCATGACACTTTATTTTCTGATTATTCGGTTTCAAGTTAGGTAAAGGTCCCTTAAATACCCATGAGGGAAAACCTACCGAAACAGCCCAAATTCTTTCCATAAAATCCGACTCGACAATTACAAACAGGAGTTGTTCCTTGAAAGGTACAGTAGGAAAACGTATTGTTACAGTTGTGCTGATTTTGGACGCAGTCACATGATGGTCCATAAAATCCCGCCTTGCACGTGCATTCTCCTGTCGTCTGGTTACAGGATTTTGTGTTGTTGTTGTTACAACTACACGGGACACAGTCGAAAGAAGTCGCATTGAAAAACATCAAGCTGGGGCAATCTGAAAGAGTTTCCAATGGAGGTTAGAAATACTGTCGAATATATGTAGTAAGTCATGCAGATACATGTACATAGTTGCTGATATATGGAATAGTAAAATATGAGTTATATCTTATATATCTTAATCGGATAAAAAATTAAATGCGCCATGTGCACAGTGCATTATTATTAAGATTAAGATCAAGCATAAGCTTATGTACTGGTGTTGTAGAGTAGGATTTCTCCCATAGCCCAATTTCCTCCCGGAATCTATACTTCAAAATAAAATTTCCAATCATGGGAAAACGCACAATTTAAAACATCTACTTAGTAATTATTTCTTTTTAAGAATATAGGAATTCCAGCTCTGTATGAAAGCTAAATTTATAACCATTTATAAATGGTAATTTGTTCTAAGGGGAATAGCAATCCATAGCTTTTTAACAGTGTATGTTTCCCCGCATACCGATTGTAAATTGAGTTGTTTGGAATTTCCTCGGAAGAAAACCTTTTCCTTTACCTACTCCTATCGTACTTTATAGTCTGTGGGTATCTCCAACAATTGTCGTTTTTTTAAGCAGAAGGGGGAAGGATTTTATAGATGATAACCAACTCTACAGGACCAGTTCTTATTATTCAATTTTTTTATCGATGTGTGCTATGACAAAAATAGGTTTGTATCTAAATCATGAAATTGTTTTATGGGATCGTGTAACGCACCCTACCGCTTAAACATGTAGCTGTTTCAGCTTTTGCTCGAGGTAGATAGAAGAAATAGTTATCCTCCTCTTTTTTATCACACTTGGTGTAATTGAGACTAAGACTAGAAAACTCGTCTTTCATACACGTAGAATCAACTAATTCGGTATCAGGAGGAACTGCATATGACGACATTTTATTGTAGAACCTACAAATGAAAGAAACAACATAACAACTTTTTCAATTAAACACAGTAATGATGATTAAGCATACTTGAATATCTCCATGCCATTCATATAGACTAAGATGGTTTCAGATGAGTAACTGAAAATCAAGAAAATACTAGGTACAAAATTGAGCTAGAAAGTTCATATATTGCAATTGCCATGTTTCTTTTTATTCTTTAGATATACATTCCGCAATGTTTAATATCTTTTTGTACCCTCCATGCACTGTTGATTAAACTGTATTTCCTTTTACCCCTAAGGCATGCACCAGGGACAATTTATTGACAATTTTGTATAGTCCACAGTTCAACGACTGAATGAACTTGTTTCTTTTATAAATATTTGAAAAGCGAGAAGTTGAATGTGTATTATACACACACACACACCAATGAGCCTTATACACACACACACACACCACACACACACACACACACACATTTGACACACAAACTTGAACACACACACACACACACACACACATTCCATATATACATACACAGTTTATACAAACGTGCATTTGAAGTATGTTGAAATGAAGATTTTAAAATTTATTTATATATAGAAAGATAAAAATGTTAAGCAGTGATGCGTTTATGATTTTATCAAGCTCAATTGGGATATATTTAATAAACTTAAAATCTGCACTACTTGAAAATGAAATAAACATGAGTTTCATTTTAAAAAGTAAATGGTTCTTGATTGAAGGATTTTTAAAAAGAGTGGGTTTTTTATATATTAATAATGTAAAAAATCAATGTGTCATTTAGATTGCCACTTGTAATGATTTCATATTTTACCATATTTATTAGAGGTCCATATATCTCTTTCCTACGTCTGAAAAGTCTCACATCCATTGAATTTTCTTTTTTTTCCGATTTTTCTGCTTTAAAAAATGACACCTTTACTATAATTCGGTTATTCTCGAGTTGAGCAGTGCATCCTTACAATTATTTAGTTACGATAAACCAGTATATCATGATGCGATATATCCAATAAAAAGATGAGTTAATAAATATTTGAAAAGCGAGAAGTTGAATGTGTATAATATATTTTCAACAACAAGCCCATTGGCCTTATAGGTCATCTGAGTATCATGTAACAACTTTTCAACAATTAAATTTGGTTCGTTTTTTAAGCCATGAAATTCAAATTCACAATTTTGATAGAGGCGCGATTGCTTATCATTACTATACACTTAGCATGCTTACTTTGGCTTCTTAATACCAAGAGGTAGATCAGGGTAACAAAGAAAAAATGCATTTCCACTTTATAACCAATTGTGCAACCCATCCAAAAGGAACCACAGTGAATGATCCTGGACAAATATTTCAAAATTTTGGAAATTTTATCAAATTTTATTTCATCATAAATGGTTCATTAATACCAAAGAGCAGATTTCAAAGCATTAATTTATTATCAGACTATGTACCCCTACCCCTCTACCCCTGACCCAGGGGCCCTGTCCTGAATTTAACAATTTTGGAAGAGGCATCTTTCTTCATCATAAATATGTACTTAGATCATTGGCATAATACACAGGGCCAAAGGAAAAGATTTTCAAAGATTTCATGCATTTTCACCATATAATCAATAAAGTCCCACCCAACACCAAACCCATCGAGCCAGGGGCCCTGAAATTCACAAATTTGGAAGAGGCATCCTTCCTTATCATAACTATGTACATAGTTTATTGGTTTAATACCCAGGAGCAGAGGAAAAGATTTTTAAAGAATTTATGCATTTTCACTATATGATCAATAGAGCCCCGCCCTAACACCAGAACCCCCAACCCTGGGGCCATGGAATTCACAATTTTAGAAGAGGCATTCTTGCTCATCATAATTATGTATTTGGTTATTTTATTAAATACCCAGGAGCAAAGAAGATTTTCAAGAAATTATGCATTTTCACTATATAATCTACATAGTCCCGCGCTAGCAATAGAACCCCTGACCCTGGTGCCATGAAATTCACAATTTTGGAAGAGGCAGCCAAATTCAACATAACTATGTACTTGGTTAAGTTATTTAATTGCCAGGAGCAGAGAAGAAGATTTTCAAAGAAATAATGCATTTTCACTTTATAATCTATTTAGCCCCTCGCTAGCACTAGAACCCCTGACCCTGAATTTCATAATTTTGGTAGAGGACTCAATGTTGATAACAAGCAAGCCAACAGTTTTACTGCTTGATGTCCAGGAGTAGAGAAGAAGATTTTTTAAGATTGCATTAATTCTAGTGGTTTTTGTCTCAATCCCTCAGGCCCCAGGGGGGCCAGGGACCATGAAATTCACAATTTTTGTTCCCTTTCAAACAAAAATGCTTTATGCCAAAATTGGTGAAGTGGTTGCAGAAAAAAAGCTGAAAATGTTCAAATGTTAACGCGCGATGCAGAACGCATGACGACGGACGAAAACAGATAGCAATAGGTCACCTTGGTGACCTAAAAATAAACAGTAATAAATTAAACTAAACATTTCACTTACGTGGGTAGTCCCAATCGTTCACAAACGCCATAATACTGTGGAGTAGAGTACCGTGGAGCATAGCCAGATATCCAGGAGTTTCCTATTCTGTATTCCACGTTTTTAAAACTTGATGTCAGATTTCTTGTCGAATTTAGCCTCAAAGAATCTACATATTATATATATATATATATATATATATATATATATATATATATATATATATATATATATATATATATATATATATATATATGTTCAGTGTTTTATCTCATAAAGTTTGTAGACATTAATTAATAGACATCAAGCCAGTATTTGATGAATTTTCTTCACTCTTCAAATAATTTTTTTTAAAAAAGTACCTTGGCAATTGAATCCTCGGTTTTCGTAGCCAGGTTTACATAAGCAGCTTGTACCGTTTTCGTTGACTTGACAAAATGCCACATCAATGTTACAGGTATTTGTCTTACAGTTGCAGAGATCCCCTTCATAACCAGATTTACAGATACATTTTCCGGATCTCTTGTCACAGCGTTCTGTGTTTGTTACATTACAGGGACAGTCATAACATTCGCTTTTGCTGAAGTAGGTCCAGTCAGGGCATTCTAAATTCATATAAAAAACAAAAATTAATAATTCATTATAAAGGTGTTTTCCTATAAGTATTTTCGTCTGTTTTAAAACTTAGTAAATAATTTTTGACCCACAATATATTTAAGGAATAACTGTCTTAATTTTCGATTTCATGATGTTATCACTCGATTGGCTTGCGTGATGATTTGCATATACGCCGAAGGCGTCATGAAAAATCTGACAATTATTCCTTGTATTTACATGCTCTAGATTCTGCCAATCCACGTGCTACAAGCCCTGCTTCTGTCTAGCTGTTTGTCCCGCCCTACACGTGATTATTTTTAACCGCACCTATTGATGAACCAGCACATTTATGGAGAAATAAGCATTCTGAGAGTATTGACTAAGCAATACATGTCCCCTACCGGGTTCCCCTTTTTCTTCAGGATGTCATTTAATAATATGCAAAAGTTATGATCAAGGTAAAAATGCATGATTTTGAGGTTGTGGATGCCTTTAATCTAATAAATTAATCCACATAAAGACGAAAATCCAGCTCATTTTTTCAACGTCTTTTTCTCGCTTCATATTTAACATGTTTTAGCGGAGCACGAACCCGATCTTAAACCATTACGAAAATTTAAAAAAATGCCATAATTCTATCAAAAATCAATGAAGCGAAACGAAATTCAAACTTGATCTGTAACTCATCTAGATACACTCACATACCAAAATTCAGCTCAATAACTGCAAGCATTTAGAAAAAAAAAGTGCGGAACATAAGTAGGACAGACGGACAGACAGACAGCTAGACGGACGGACGGACGCAGAGGAAACCTATAGTCCCCTCCGGTTTCACCGGTAGGGGACAAATAAAGTACATTAGCTATGTGTAATTTATCTCGGGCAAAGACATTGGAAATGTAAATATAATAAAAATATTTTAAGTTCCTTAAAAATGGAATCTGATTGGAAAAGATCCAATAACTAAATCAAAATGTAACACTCCGCATCATTGATATGTCACAAGCGTGCGAGTTATATGTGCTTAATCTCAATTTATTCCATGTTTCCCCCTTTATTCCGTGGATATAGCTCATGTGATATCATTTTCGTATCCCACAGTTGTGACGTCACAATGAGTTTTGTGTTAGGGTAATGAAGTAAATTAAAGTGGACTTCCATATAAAACAGTGTAAAACATTACGTGTGGTGTATAAAACAAAATGAATAACATGGGATAAAAAGAATCTCGCATGATTTGCGGTTAGATATAATTTTTATCCAACTCGTTTTGTGCTTTTATCCCCTCACGAAGGCTCGGAGATTTAAAACACAAAACTCGTTGGGTAAAAATCATATCCAACCACTAATCATATGAAATCATACCAGATCCTTATTATCTTGCAAATCTTTCCATACATTTTGATAACAACGACATTTATCCATAAACAAAATGTTGATTTACATCTACATGTAAATTACTTACCTCAATAAAAATAACAACTCCATTAAGTATAAAGAAGAAGAGTCGTTATGGATAATAATAGGCCCTTTTGTTACTATTCTTATGGGAAAAAGAGAGTCGGATCCAAGCTTAAGGTGATGTACACAAATCATAAAATGTGTTTAAAAATTACCTGATAAACACTGAAGTTGCACGATCCCGTTGTCACATATAGAGGGACTATCCTCAAATTTCAGACATTCCGCTCTGGGAGAGGTAAGTGGAGTCCTACACCGTTCATCTATCTTAAACTTGTAACCCTTCGGTGAGGTGTAGACGTCCTTTATGTTTATCACGCGTCTATGAATAATATATAATAAAACAGTATAAAATTAATCTTAATTTCTTATTTATAAAAAAATTAAAATGTCCGAATAATAATACCCCCCCCCCAATGCAGCAGCGTTCTATTGCAAATAAAAATGTTACATTAATTATTATGGTGGGTTTTTCTTAAGAAATCTAAATAAGCTTTTTAAAGAACTCTCACTTGAAAATTTTTTCTATTTTCAATTTTACTTTCAAATTTTCTGAAATCATCATGTTAAAGAGCACCCCCACCTTCCATTTAGGCCCGCAAAGTATGTTTCATTAGTTTTTATTTTAATGTAAAATTTGTTTCTTTCATCATTTAACATTTTTTATATGATATCTTACATTAATCTTCCTTCACATTTCTGATTGAAAACTCTGTTAGATTTAAAGGTTTTAAAACCTTATATGTAACTTGCATTTTTCTTCAATGACATGAAACAATTTATTCTAACATGCCTTTGTTATATGGATTAAAATCTTACGAGGGTAGGTTCATTGCTCGACAAAGGACGCGGTCAGTTGAAAATCCCGTCAAATCATGACAAACATAATGCCACTTGTTGTTTTTATGATACTGTAATGTATTGTTTGTTTTGTCCAATCGAAGCCTCTCTGTACAAAAAAAATACTCAAATGTAACTAACATGTATAATACCGTTAATTCATATATTTCATATATATGCAGTACGTACCAACACAAGATGACGTTGCTTTGTTTCCATATTTGCAGTAACATGTACCATTTTCACAGACAGATGTTTTCAGATCACACGTGTGATTTCCTTTAGGACAGGAGCAGGTCTGGCCCTCAAACCCAGGCTTACACTTACATTCCCCGGATGTTTTATCACAGGAGAGAGTGTTCGACTGAACACATTGGCAATTTATGCAGTCACTTCCAAATGTAAATGCTGGACATTCTGAAAAAAAAGTTTTTTTTTATTCATCAACCAGTCAAAATGTATTGAAACACGATATTGATAAAAATATTGTTTTTCATCCTCAACAACTTATAACCAAATTTTGATGCTTAAAATAAAGTCAAGCATCTAGGAATTGATTTCATTGAAACTAACATTAACATGAAATAACAAATAAAGAGTATTAATATAAAGCCTAAAACAAAATGAACTTTAATTCGAATTTGGGTTGATAAATTGTAATAATTAAGGCTATTCCACCCTTCTGTGATTTCATAGGCTATTGCAAAATATGTCATTGATTTAAATTCACAACCAATAAAAATGTATCTTTTGGACAATTGCCTTTCAAAAGGTGAAATATTAATTATTGTTTAATAAATAAATTATTTAATCAATTCTTTAATATTATTTAACCTAAACCATTTTGCAAAGGGCAATAAATCCTTCTATATATCTTCATTCAGCATGTTTCGTCATTGTCGTGTAATGTTAATTAAAATGTTTGCCATGTTATTCGCAATTAAAACATACTAGTTTTTGCACAACAACAATTAATTTAGAACTTTCAGCATCAGAATTATGCATTTGAAATAGTTTTTTTGCCTGACTGTTTACTAAGATTTAACGATTTTTTAATGTTGGCATATACTTCTGTTTATTTAATTCTTATATCATAAGAAAAATGGCAACATATACATTTTTAGTGAATACTAGTTAATTTTTGAAAATGATTATGTTTTTCTACTTTGAATCCAAAAAATTGTGAAGACAAAAATACCTGAAATATATTAAGGACAAAAAAAAAAATTATAAACGTCTTCTGTTTATCTTTTCGATGGAAAAAAAATATTTCAAGCTTTGATTGAAGAGTGAATCACATAATTGTCACCCTGTACAAAATAAAATTCTTAAATAAAAGTACAAATTTAATTGTACACAAGCCTTTCTTCTGAAACAATTTAAAACACATCATTTTAGTTTTCTTGATCATCAAGATTAACATTTATCATAACACAATTTTAAAACAATCTATTTACCTTCGCCACAGATGAGTCCAAGATCTTCAAAATGGTTACAATACGCGGTAGAGGAGGTGTAACACTGGGATATTCTCTCCTCTGTACCAGCACACTGTATAAATCCGTAATGGATTGGGCCGCTGCCAGGGCCATAATATGCCTCTTTGCGAAAATCTGTGTAAATGCTGCCAAAAAAATGATATAAAGGCACATGTACAGGAGTAAGTTGTGAAACAGGATCAAAGTAGTATTTTCAAATATTATGATAATTAATCATATTAAAGATATCTTAAAATTAAATTTTCAGTATTCAAGTCAAAATCTGATAAATACAATCCGCCATTATTTTTTCACCATAATTATTCACCGATGTAAGACGACTATACCTTGGTAGACCAAGGTTTCTACACATAACCTTGGTCATTTTAGTTCCGGGAAAAGCGTTGTCATCACAAACCGTTCCCCAACTTCCGTTAACATAAAGCTCCACTCTTCCAGCGTAGATTTTCTTTCCATTACTTGTTACAGTTGTTGATTGATTTGCTAACCGTATGGGATCTAATAAATAACAAAAAAATATTTCAAAAATAGATACACTGCTACGCACTTAATTTTCGACCAAAAAATCATCAAATGAAATCAATAAAATGTTCTTTTCACACCTTAAAGACATCAGTTTGTATTTGTATTTTTTCCATGATCCGAAAAACGTCGAACATTTCTCCAAAACAATTTTGTTTCTGAACTCAACCCAATATAATACTTATTTTTCAATATGTAAATCGAGAAGGCCCTCGATATTACTGAGTATCTTTATAGGCTTATATCCAAAAATTGTGCTGAGGAGGAACATAAAAGAAAAGATATACCTGTACAATTGTAATTCTTCTTTCCAATAAAATTGGTTTTGCAAAGACACACCGGTGTACCTGATTCTGCATGACATTCTGAAACTGTGTTATTACATGGATTATTTCCCTTTCGGCATTCACAGGTGGCGCCAGTGTAGCCTGCTTTACATTTACAAGCTCCTGTGGTTGAATTACAGCTTTCTGTATTTGTTCTGTTGCATGAACAAAATGTGCAATCTTTTCCATATCTCCACTCTGGACAGGCTGAAAAAGTGATTTGCAAAATTCCATGACTTCGGAGGTTTCACATTGTAATCAATACATGCATTAATTCAACTTTGTAAAGGGATTTTATCTGCTTCTTGAAAGATTGTTCTAAATGATCTAAATAGTCTGCCATATTTCATAAATTGTACAGTTAAAATTTGGCCCGTGAGCATTAAAATTTATGGCTCTGAAAAACTCATAAATATTCATATTTTCTCATCCAGATACATGTATACTACAAACATTATATAACCCTGTTTTATACAAAGATTTCATGAATATTCATTATCAATATACATACATATAAGTGTTAATGATTTTTTTGAAATTTTCTTTCTATCTAAAAAAATGCATTGTGACTTTACCTTAAATTCACAAATATGCAAAATTTTCATAGATGAATAAATATTTTTCTAAAAAAGATAGTCAGCTTTCAAACGGATAAATTAACCTAATGAATAAGCCGCTTTTTGTGATAGGAAAGCTGTTTAAAGCAATATTAGTTGATTTTTTATAATGATAAAAAATTAGCTGCATGACAATTTTTCATAGAGATAACACTTATAAGTTAAATGAGACTAAAACTGACCATAAAATTTTTTTCAAACGGAAGCTTAATTTATATAACCTTGGAATATATCCGATCAAAACGAATCCCTCATTAATTTTCGATCTTAAAATAAATATTCTTAAAGTGTATTTAACTAAAATGCTTGCTTTTTCTCCAAACCAATTGTACTCATTATGATGCAAGAAGCAAAGATATATATTCCAGCGAATTTTGAAATCTAAGATTTTTTTCCAATTTATTTTCATTGTCTAACGTTGACGTCTTTTAAAAATGTTTTAATATATGAAATATATGGAGATAATAAAAAGAAATCGAGCTAAAAAGTCCATTCAACGATACAAAATAGGAGCGGACACGGATCTTCAAAACATCAAAGGTGGGATCATGTGTCGTGGAGGAGTGAGCATCCCCTGCCGACCGGTCACAATCGCCGTGTGCTTCTTATATTGATAAGAAAATATAAGAAAATCCGTCGACAATTCAGTGTGTAAATAATAGCCTAACAATCAGTATGAAAAAAGTCAGTCAGCAATTGTCGTAGAATATAATACATTTGTATTTTCTGACAAGGTAACATATCGACCATAGAACTTAAAACTAATTGATGACTTTGCATTACTGTTACAAAAATATTTCCAGCAATATTAACAGTAAAGTCTTTTAATAAAAGATGAAGATATATACAAAGTAAAACGTGCATCACCTGCTAAGCATTGAATCCCAAGAGCTATGTTACACTTTAATGCAGGCGCCATGGTTATGTTACAGTCTTTCATAGAAGTCTCTGTACCGTCACATGAAGCCTCGGCTATTTCGTAATCTGGCAGATTAGTTTTGGGAATAAATTTGGAGAAATATGCACTGGTATGTACCCTATAAGTAAATACAAACACAAATATAATGGGAGATTACAGTGCTTACCTCAACAAATGGTGTCTTTAAGTAAAGCAAAAGCATCTTAGAAGTATTATCCACAAGTGTTAAACTAGGGCTAATCTTGAAAATGATAGCATAAAAAAAATTAAAATCTTAACATCCGCATAATGAAAGCAATCATTTAGTGTGCATCGCATTTTGAATCACCAAATCAAGTTTGGTAATAGGACGCATAAATGCAATTACAAGATGTGTTTGTGAATAGACATAAAAAAAAAAATTGATCAATTAGTCATCATGGTGTCATTGAAAGAAAATGTATGCATTCTAAATCTGAATCTATCTGAAGCAAAGTTTGGAGTGTGATATATTTTTGCATATAGGTCACAGTAAATCACAGGACCTTGGTCATTTAATATTGGCCTTATAGTTTATTCAGCATATAGGTCACAGTCAAAGTCCTCATCGACCATGGTGTCATTTGAAAGAACTTTTACCAAATATGAAGTCCTATCTTCTATGGAAAGTTATGGCAAAAAGTGTAAAAAGCATTTTTAGCTGTCACAGTCAAGGTCACAAGATCAATCCTTAGCTTTTATCAATGCATACCAAATATGAAGTCCCTATCTTATGCTTCAAAAGTTATGGCAAAAATAAAAAGCTATTTTTATATCACTCAAGGTCACAAAATGAAGAAAGGCTTTTATCCGTGGAGTATGCATACCAAATTGAAGAAGCTTAGTTATCAAACATGAAAAAGTGTGCTAAACATCGACCATGGTGTCATGAAAGAACTTAATTGGTGGATTATGCATACCAAATATGAATATCCCTATGGTTCAAAAGTTATAAAAAAAATTAAAAACTTGACCTTGTTCATTTATCGGTCCGAATACCAAAATGAAGTCATATCTATGCTTCAAAAGTTATTGGAAAAAGCTATTTTCAGCATATAGGTCACAGTCAATCAAGGTCATTGACCTTAATATGAAAGGATGCATACCACCAATTCAAAAGTTTTTTAATGACAACAGACAAACAGACAAACAGATAAACGGACAAACAGACAAACAGACAAATAAATGACAAAAACTTGGGAATGATCCGGGCGAAAAAAAATTAACTCCCCTAAAATGTTAAATTGGCCATTCCTTTGCTGAAATTGCAGCGTCTGAAACCCTGACTGGAACAATGAAACACACTAGAATTAAGTATCTTCCATGCATGTCTGATCAACGTAGGGCAAAGAGGTACTTAAAAATAAAACTGCACCAAAAACCTTAACCTGGGACGCCGACGCCGAGGGTATAACATACAGGTAACCTTCCCAAATTCGTTGAGATAAGCTTTAAAACAATATGATCTTACAAATTTAGAAACAATAACAATGTTTGCGTCAACTGCCTGCATCTCTGTCCTGATTACATTTAATTCGTTGTATCATATTAATTAACTCAAATGAATGCAAATACCTTGAAAAAGTGCAACTATAACAGTGATCAATCACATAAAAACTACAATTCTACCACGATTATTGAAGACATCAAAGAAATGCCGCGGACATTATTCTCCAATATATCACGAAAGTCATAAAAAATTATCAGATCAGAAACAAATCAGAAACGTATCAAACCTCCACAGTTAAAATAAATATTTGACTCTAAAAAGTAATACTTGTTTAGACCACATCGATGTGTCCTCTTTTGCAATCTAAATACTGTAAATTGCATAAAATTGCTGATGAATGTCGGTTTTTATAGCCAAGCGGGGCTATTCCACGGACATCCCTACACATTTAAACACCAATAAAGCAGTTAAAAAGAACATGATTTTGTTACTGTATCTTCATTAAAATTAATCAATACATATAACGAACAAATTTGAAATTTAAAAAGGCTTCTTCTAATGCAACAAAAGCTCAAATTGTCTGCATTCTATACACATGTAAGCAAACAAATTTTCCCTTTGGTGTTAAATGGAACAGCGTATTCGAGACATGTTGTTTAACATAAAATCATAAAAACCTCGGCTTTTATCTTTCAAGCAACATTTCTCGGCCTTGGAGGTTATCATGCAACATTCACGAAAACGCGGACTTTATTTCTCAAACAAACCAAATCTGTGAGCTGAACATAAATACAGATCCCCGGAATTCCATAGATTGGATCAGGTGACTAAAAAAAATTTATTTTATATCTATTATAGAGAATCTCGAGTCCATTTAATATAAATATGATAAATGTTAACTCACACTGGTAGTCCGAGTTGTCTGCAGATAACGTTGAGTACGCTAAAAACATTATTCCCTGAAGGATCAGAGTACAATATACACAAGGGATTCCAGGTCCCATTACTGTAAAACTCCACCTCTCCTTTATCCATTGCGGACCTATCAGTAAACCGCAGGCCAAAATCTGCAAAACAAAACATGACTCGCATGCTGCTTCTTTACTCCACACTCTGGATTGACTAACAATTAATGAGGACAGATGACACACACCTTTGACATAAAAATTAAAAATGACAAATGTCATGTCTAAATGAGCATAACAAACAAGTTTTACCGGGTTGTGTTTAATGTTTCATTCAAAGTTTCAGAATATTTGGATTTGAAGTGAGACTTTGTACGTCTGATGTTTAGGTCCGTATTTCTTCAGACCCTTTTTTGTTTAATGGACTTTTGAGCTTGAATACTTTTCGTTATTTCCAAATATTCACACATTATATTTCATGAAAATAGGTGGCAACAGAAAGGTAGAATTTGAACATCAAAGAAGGTTATTTCTTGATGTATTAGAAAGAATGGAGGCGTATACAAGGCGAGGACAATCCCCCGCTCTGAAAAAAGACATTTCTCAAAGTAGTATTTTTTTCAAAATTTTATGGTTTAAATCATCTATTACATCTAAAATTTTGAATTTCATTGTTTTAATAATTTATTAATTATTTATTTTTCACTCATGTTTTTAAGACATTTGAAAAGAAAAAAGCTTCATGAATGATTCGAACTCTCTCCATAGCGCAGTTATGGTCCAAGACCAACCGCTTTAACTACTACGCTACGAAGTATATGCATTATTGACGTCTTTCGGTGTGATTTAAATGAACGAGTTTGTTAAAGCGTAATTTTTTTTCAGAAATGTTCGATTTTTATATAGAATGGGTTCAGATTCCATTTTTTTTTAACAAATGAAATAGATTTTACATTTACGTTTCCATCATTTAAGCGTTCACGAAGAATGGAGACTTGACCCATTCATGTTAAAAATTCATTTTTTTATAGCTCTATTAAACCCATTTTCCACTAAATATGCTTAACTGTCAACTTTGAAATAAAGATAAACAAATAATACAAGTCGTTCAGTAAAATAAAATAATAAAATGTTTTGAAGATGACATTATACTGAGAACATGATTTTAGAAAAATATAACTATTCTGTGAATTTTGAAAATTGAGAAACATTTTGTCTCAGAGCGGGGGATTGTACACGCCTTATACGCCCTCTTTCTTTATAATTTGCATTATTCATGTTATTTACAACAAAAATATGCCTGGAAATATATACCAATTCAAGCATCCATTTTGTTTTGTTTGTATCACCTGTCCTAAGGGATTTTTACTTTTTATGTCGCTCACCTTTACAGTTATTCTGGGGTGTTGCTGATACCCCCTTTTTACAAAGACATATTGGTTTTCCATTGTCCAAATGACAAATGGAGGTTTTGGAATCACAGGTGTGCTTTCCAGTCTGACAGTCACATGTTTCTCCAGAAAACCCGGCTTTGCACGTGCATTTTCCTGTATCATCGCATTTCTCAGTGTTGTTCTGATTACAAGAGCATGGAAGGCAGTCGTTACCATAGCGCCATGTCGGACATTCTTAAAGACAAGAGACAAAAGAATAATAAAAGTTGCTGTTCTTCAAAAAGGACAGTATGGATGTATATCTTACACAATCAACTGAAAACAAACTGTGTTGCAAAGAAACAAATGTATTTAAAATAGTTCTCTTTTTAACTGAAAGCATGTAATTTTTTTCATAATATTTAATGTGATTGTCTTAAACTGTAATGACGTACTTAGAAAATAAAGCAAGCTAATAAATAGTTGTACTTCTTCGCTTTTTATCAGAAAAAAGAATCAAAGAAGAATTAATGCTTTTAAACCAATGAAACCCTGCCTTAACATCTGGAATATGATCCCACCTCTGATGTTTTGGTGGTCCGTGATTGCTCTACTCCTATTTTGTTTTGTTTTAAGGACTTTTGAGCTTGAATAATGTTCGTTATCTCCATAATAATATTTCAACATAAACCTTGTCCAATGAGCTTAGAATTTCACAACTCCGATAGAGATGCTCAGTGATTATTTTACTTTACATTTCTTTTTTTTTAATAATTCTTTATTTTTGTTTTACACATTCTGTTATTTAATACAATAAATGATTAATAACAAATACAGAAGATGTAAATTTTTCATTTTTCAAAAGAGAGAAAGAGATTTTTTTTTAATTAGGGGAGAGAAACTTTTTTTTAAGAGAGAGTACATGCATGCATTCACAATATTTATATTAATCTAAATATTCATTGAAATAAAAGCTTCCAGTAGTTCCAGCAGGTATCAAACATATCCTTTTCACCATTTTTGTATGCAATATATTTTTGAGTTTCATAAAATGTATTCATAAGCGATATCGCAGCATGTACATTAAGTGTTTTCCCTGTGCATCTCATTGTGTAGATATAATATTTAAGCCATAGAACAAGATTATTTTGTATCATTATCCTATTATCTAAGAATCCAAAAATGAAATTATTTTTTGTTACCGATATCTGAAGATTTGTTTTATTTTCAAGATAATTTTCAAATTCTCTTAAAAAATCTTGTACATGATCACACTCCCAAAGCAAATGTTCGATTGTTTCTTCTTCTACTTGACAGAAGGTACAGTTTTTGTTGTCTGTGATTTTGATTTTGAATACTGTAGATCACTAAATTTTCGCGACACCTTATTTTCGCGAGATAGTAATTGACTCTTGATTAGCGAGACAAAATTTTCGCGAATTGTGGTTATTGCTCTATATAATCTTAAGGAATAATATTATACGCGAGAATTAAATTTTCGCGAGCACACTGTTTCGCGTAATTACGCGAAAATAAAGTTCTCGCGAATAAAATGTGATTTACAGTAGATATGAGTTTGAGGCCAAAATTTTGTTCAGAATTCGGTACTGGAACCATTGCTGTTTGCAATTGTTTGTAACTTTAAAAGGCAATTTAAAAATCAATTTCCATTCTCTGTCGTTCAGTTCAAATATTTCATTCCATTTTCTTTTACCAGTAGGTTCTGTGCTATTTTGGTTGAGAAGATTATAAAATTGCCTTGATTTTTTGCATTCTAAAAGAGTATTTATATTTGACATGACCAGAGGGTTTTGTGACTTAGTTACACTTCCATCAAAAATCGCTTTTTTCATCCATGCTTTAAGAGCACTTATAATACTCATATATTCTAAAAAATTAATTTTCACTTGTGGATATAGATCACAAACAGATTCATAAGTCAAGAAACCTCCCTCTTCATTTAAAACATCATTAAGGTATCGGATATTAGCATCAAACATGGATTTATTGAAAAATACTTTCCCCCCCAACAAGGATGTTGGGATTATAAAAAAGAGGAGCATTTGCTGTAACTGCAGTTGGGTTTTGTTTATGATGTAGCTCAATCCATGAGTCAAATACGTCCACCCAAAATTTGTTTTTTAGTGATTTTTTTAATATTTTTAATATATTCAATTCCACATGTTGCAACTTTATTTATATCTACTATTGGTATAAAATCATGTAGATCTCTATTTGACAGTAGGAGTTTTCTCATCCAAAATAATTTTAAGGAAGATGTAAAAGCCTTTACATTTATCATCTTTAATCCCACATCTTCATATGTTTTAACAATTACATCCTTTTTTATTCTATGTTGAGAGTGGTTCCACAGGAAGGAAAAAAATACTTTATCCAACTCTTTATAAAAATTTTCATCTGGGTTTGGAATTGCCATAAAAATATGGTTTAATAAAGGCAGAACCAAAGTTTTTATAACAGTGATTTTTCCTATTGGTGTTAAGTGTCTTTTCTCCCACTAATGCAAGATTGATTTTATTCTGCTTAACTTTGGCTGATAATGCAATTTAGACATATTTTGAAGCTCTACATCAAAATTAATTCCAAGTAAAGTGAATCTATTAGTCCCCCATTTCAGATTAAAATCTCTGTAAATGATATCTTGACTATATCTTTACATTTCATTTGTTTGGTAAAATCTTACAAATAAGTACTATACTTTTCTTTAGTTAACTCTAGTAAAGCGATTTTTTACAATGAATTTCAGATAGATATATTTTATTTTTCAAACTTCCTTCAAGTATTTTTTTTATTAAGACAAACTTTTTCTTAATATTTACATATTTTATTTTTAAAAACCTATGTTATTTACGATATATTAATGCATTTAGCCATTAAATCTTCAAAAAAGTTCTAGTGTAAGGTTTCTTATTGTAAATCAAAGTATCAAAGTATTCACTAAGGTAAACAATATTTAACTGTAGTAAATGTTGGATAGGGAAAGAGTGGAGAACATTTTCAAAGACATAACGCATTTTTACAATATAATCGATGAATTTCTGTCCTAAAACGAATACCCTCTGATGCAAAAAGAGGATGTAAGGATTTGGGGGACATTGTGTAAAAAATAAAAAAAAAAACAATACGTACATCTTACTAAAACCATTCAGGGAAGGTTTCTAACAAAAACAACTCGTTTTTTTCTGATATAAGTCATATCAACAGAGACAACGTCAATTGTTTCACTCTCAAAGCCTTTTTTTATAACACCGTGGCCCTGCAGATCAAAAATTTTGAGAATAAAAATAACACCGTGGCTCTAGCATGTACATGTAGTCATGATTAGATCACTTAAAATGAAGCCCTTTGATATTAAGTGCTCAATTGAATATCAAAAGGCATATATTCCTTTCTGTCGTGTCCTTTCATACATATTTTTCCATTATAAAGTTGAGAACCTTTACAAATTAATTTGTACAGAATAATTACATTTATCAAAACTATTTACTACAACGCCCCATTGATCCTGTGGTAGATTTTTGATATAAGCTTTTACTCATTTCACTTACACATATCCCGTGGTAGGTATTTGATATAAACTTTGATACCTGTCACATATCTTATGACTTACTGCTTTTCTTTTTTTTTTTTTTTTTTTTGACTAATATTGTAAAGATCAACATGAACGCCAAAGCTTTTGTCAATCTAACGACCATACATTTTTTTTTGATCGTATTCAGAACATGCTCTAATATAGGACACTAAACACCAATTTCAGGCGGAATTTTACAAACGATTTTATTTGACAAAAAGTATGAGAAATATTAGGAAAACAAGTGATCAACATGAACGCCAAAGCACGACTTAATGAAAGGTTAATTTTTGTCAAGATTGTCATAAATCTACGATTTTGCATACATTTTAGTTCAAAAATTGTTGAGGTGACTTTTCATTTTAATCAGATAAGAAAGGAAATCCGTTCTGTTGTTCCTTTTATAACATCTAAAAACTGGTCGTCAAATGATGGATGATTAGTAAGTCACGCCTACTGTTCAAAGTAGTCAATCTTTTGCGGAGGTAAGAAAATTTGTCTTCTAAGTATAGTGAATTCATCCATACAATCAGTTTTAATCATGACCTATTAGGAAAATAGACATTTGGCGCATTTTTTCTTCTTTTTTATTAGAAGATAAAAGCTTCAATGATGAACAACATGAACGATCTAGAGAATAATGCTTCAGTTAATGGATTTATTCATTTGACTTTTGAGGCAAATATAATCTATCAACCGGTAAATACAATCTAACAACTGGCAAATACAATATATCAACCGGCAAATACAATCTATCATCCGGCAAATTCAATCAAACAACTGGCAAATACAACCAATCAACCGGCAAATACAATCTAACAACCGGCAAATTCAATCTAACAACTGGCAAATACAACCTATCAACTGGCAAATACAATCTAACAACCGACAAATACAATCTATCATTTAGTCGAATGGTGACTGACTTTTTTCATATACCGGTAAATTGTTAGGCCATTGATTTCAAATTAATTGAATTGTCTATGGTGTTTCCGTTTGCCTGTTCATGACGAAGAACACAGTAAAATTGTGGACGGTCTACAGGACGCATACCCCTCCATGGCACCTGATCCCACCTATTATGATTTAAGGTGGTGAAAATTTTGCACTGTTTCCATCTTACATTGCTTTAATTGAGTTTTGAGAATAATTACTTTTCATTGATTTCATTTTTTCAATTATTTTCGGTACCTTCAAGGGTATATAGCTTGAGAGAAATTTTTGATATTTTTTCCTATTTTTCAAATTGACTTAACTTTTATATCTGCAGTCAAGGTAACAGGCCAATAAAGAATAAAATATTTTAAAAACTGACAACTCTTGATGAAAGAAACCATCAAATAGTATTTTTCAACATCGTGCATGTTGTAAATTCAAATGCAAGTGGTTTCCACATAAACGATTTCGCATCACTAACGTGTACTTTATCCGTATTTAGTACACATATATACAGGTATCCTGTAATATTTTAAAATCCTCTTAGGGGTTCCATCAAAGTTTGTCCTGGGAGGGGGAAGGCTTGAATAGCTTATTTTTATTTCATTATGTTTGGATTTTTTTTAAAATTCTTGTTTATGTTTCAAGTAGTAAAAAAGAAGGTTTATAACCATTCATTTCTGTTGAATTGATTATCTAAGTCATCGCTAGATATTGTTTCAGTTCATTGTGGCGCCAACTGACAAAAATAATGATTCCCATTTCGAAATTTGATAAGGGAAGAAAGATCATGTCCTCGACCTATTTAGTGTTACCGCTAACTTCATTCGCATTTTCTGTCATTCAAGTCCAAAAGTGACGGTTTCCTCTTTTGCAATAATTACTCTTAAACCCTTTACAAGTTTTCATTGTACATAAAGAACATGGCTACAGATTTATTATCATTTTCCGCTGAAATGTAGCTGGTATTGTTTGATTTGAATGAGAAAAATACAGATGTTTCATATTTCATGTGCACTAAAATGCCATTTGATAACAAATTTTCTTTCCAAAACGCAATACATTAACCAACATGTATGAAGGCATTGGCATTATGTTAATTACGTATTTTATATTTGTGCGTTAAAAATTACAGGCTATAGGACAATTCAGTTAAACACAACCAACAAAAATGTGCATTAAAAAACTGATAAATCTATCTCTGTTATTATATAAGATGAATTTAAAGTAGGCAAAATGTGAGAGGATTTTACATGTAACGGTCCACTACTTCTGCTTAACATTGTTTATATATCGCACAAGTAGAAAAACACTTAGATATACCACTTTAGTCACTTCAGATGCTTAATTAATCTTATCCTATACTTATCAGCCTCACAAATAGGGGGAACAAAATGTATAGTTCTCATCGCCCGCGTGGCGCAGCCATTAGAGGGTTTGCTATAGAATCACGGAGACAGAAGTTGAAATTTGCGTCGCTAGTTAGAATCACACTGAGAAAAGTGGAGCCTGGTTCTTAGGGTGATACCGAATAAACTGAGGTTTTGTGTCGGAATAGATGCTGACACAAAAAAATCCCTCACTGCTCAAAATTTTATGTCCCGAGTACACATCCAAATCATTGGCCCCTGAGCGGAAAGTGGAAGCGTCTCAATATGTCAGAGTGAAAAATTCTCGAAAGGGCATTCAAAAAACAAAACAAAATTGAAGTTCTCACAAAATCTTTAAAATACACAAGCCATTACCTCATTTTTTATTATTTATCATCAAAGCTATTGTCAAAGAGCTGACTCTTAAAAATATTCTTCACTGTATAGTTTTAAAAATTGGACACGGATTTCAAAGTTAATATTTTCTGTATATTTCTGTATAATATCACGAATTATATATTTTAATAGCATTTTACACAAAAATTAATTAAAAATCTTATTTTATTTAAAAGTTATTAAAACTTTAAATTTTTTGGTGGGTTTATTGACACATCCTTGCACTTTCACAAATCTTAACTTTATTCTTAATCCTTAGTAAAAGTATGGCAATGCCTGGTGTATTAATAAATTTTAAAACCTTAAAAATAAGGCTATTCAGAGTTGAAATGTTAGAAAGCAGAACTACTTCACAAGTATCGCCATTCCGTTGTGTACAGAGTTTTGCGAATCGATCACACTCGTGTTATGTACACAGGTTTTTGTAAACATGTTATTGTTTGATGTTTACGATTCATCGGGTGCGTTAAATCGCTTAACAGTCTGTTTATATATCTGCACAAGTAGACAATATATTGTGTGTTTGTTTTGCTTTAGATGTCTACTCTGAATTTTCTGGATTATAGTATTAAATTTTTCATTAATACACATCGGGATTGCCACTTTTCCCGGTTAAGAATAAAGTTAAGATTTGTGAAAGTGCAAGGATGTGTCAATCAAACCCGCCAAAAAATTTAAAGTTTTTATAACTTTTAAATGAAATAAGATTTTTAATTAATTTTTGTGTGAAATGCTATTAAAATATATCCCTCACTGTAATAGTTATCCAGAGAAAATATCCAATTTCAAATCTGTGTCAGAAAGTGGGGACCTTTAAAGACAAAAACAAATAAATCAGCAAAATAAAAAACAACATTCATTCTCACAAGATCTTTAAAATACACATATGCCCCTTTATTAATATTTTAGGATTATTTCAAAGACATTGTTATTATGCCTCCACCTCACACCCTTTGCAGGGTAAGAAAAGACAAAAAAAACAAAAGGTTACAAAATGCAACATGATATTTAGAGTGTGTTGTGAGCTTCTTCTCTCAATTTTTGATAGATGCAAGTGGCAATTTGTATCTTTTTCCTTTGAAAGAATAGTAATGAGTCCTCCTTTCTGACTTGTCAGTCACCAAAAACTGAACTGAACTGAGCAATAGAAAAATTGTTTTTGAAGACATAAGTATTAATCAAAGATAATGTTCAGCTGAACTCGATAAAGGTTATACATGTAGGTGAATCATTTGAGAGAAGCTTCCTACTAATGTATGTGTGCATCTCTTGCTGCATCAATGGGGAAAATGGAATTGCTCCAAAAAACTAACTTTAACCTAGTTACTAATTAAGAAAATGAAGGTCTGATTCAGTAAAAGGAGTCAATCTGGAAGTTTACATCCATAATCCATAAACCATTCCAGATAAATCATCATGAGGCATAAATTATATGGAAAATTATCTACAACGTGAACTTTAACTTCATCAATTATCCTGTAATTGAAGGTCAGATTCAATATTTGAGGCATATTTTATAATTTGCAGCTAACGGTTGGAAAAGGTTTCACTGGGATTGCAACTGCTGCAAAGGACGATCAATTTCACAAATTATGAAAGCTGAATTAGCAAATATTCATAAAAGGTATGTATATGCACACTGCTTTCAGACTTGATTCGGATGCTGGATCTAGGGACATTTTCCAGATAATGGTGAAATTTTATTACCAAGTTAGTATTCACCCCTTTGGTAACCAAATTTGCAAGATATACCTCTAGCGATGAACATCTACCAAACATACTTCAGATGCTGGATATAATTTACAATATTGACCACTTTATTTTATTTCAAAATAACTATGATCCCCGTGGCGATAAAACTAGTATTCCTGATGCATCTGTGATTGCATACTACCATATACATTACTAGTAAGCTTCAGATGCTGGATCTGACCTACACATTCTGAATAACTAGCGAATCAAATTTAAGTTTTTGGAGCACCATGTTTCGCTACCAAAGGGATAATTGTAATTCAAAATAAACTTGCTTTTTATACTTTAATCGGAATACCAGCGCCTACGCAAACGTTGAGGTATAGAATAAGCCTAGCTGCATAACTGTAACGTACCAAATATATATATTGACAGACCGGAGAGTCATCCATCGAAAAAATGTTTCTTTATTGCGCATAAAAAGTTGCGCTTGGTTCAGGATTAATTCTTCCAACGTAATCGGGAGGCCCGGGTTCAATTCTAGTTCTCGGCGCCGCGTCAAACGGTTACCTTAGACGTAAAGATAGGTAGTGATTGTTCCTTCGCCAAGCGCTCGGCACTAGAAGTAAAAGTTAAGGGTCTTTCGGATATAACCTTGAAAACGTAGGTACCGTGTCACGGTAATCGTTGGCATGATAAAGAAGCCTCACTGCTCAATGGCCCTGAGTGCCGAGTATAGGTTTAAATTTGAAGCCCGTCACCGGCATACGGTGAAGTCTCCATATGAGTGAAAAATTCTCGAGAGGGACGTTAAAAAGCATACAATCAATCAATTCTTCCAAACTCCTACCTTAATTGCAAAAAATGCATGATTTAAAAAAAAATCCTACTACTCTATCACGTACTCTCGTAGTTGATATTTGCACGAAGAGCGTTGGGCCGAAGTATCTTCCAAACCAAAATGGCAGTATATATATTTTGATTTTCATTTCAGGGCAAGGAGGTTACTAACACCAATTATAAGGAATTATTTGTTGTCAAAACAGTGAAAAATATATTTAGGAACACATGGTTAGTAATATTTTGGTAGGACAGTTTCAAAAACACAGAGAAATAAATCGAAAAAAACAAGCGCATTAAATAATAGTTTTTTCCGGCCTGTGGTCAATATATTTTTCGGAGAGCTACAGTTCGATCTGCTGTTAAGAAAACCCCCATCTAGACTTAATGGAGTTAATAATAGAGAACTTGACAATTAAGCTGGCCTATGAACCACATGCATGAGAGAATGTATTTACTCACGTGATCCACAAATGACTGTAAAACGAGGCTGACTGCCACACCTCCCTTCAGGAATATCGCGGTCAAAATGATAAGGACATTTATGTAGAGCTGTTTCATTTCCAAGACAATGATAATTCAAATGCTGTATTGATTTGGATTTCTCAGGAAGATCTTTGATGGATCGAAATTCTGCTACACATCGAGTTCTGAAAAAAATAACAAACACAGTATTGGGAGTATGCTCATCTCAGTATTTTCATAACACACGGGAATTAATTTAACAAGGGATTTATCATTTCGACAGACGTTTATATGTCTGGATTTTCTTAAATTAAATAAAATTTATGGTTGGTTTTCTTCATTTAATTGTTATCAAGCAAGGAATAAACAAGCTATTTCAAGCTTTGGTTAGGGTTTATTCCAAGATAGAGTCAGCATTTTCTGCTTCAAGGCAAAAGCACAAAGGGGTTAAAGTTATAATCGAGAATCACTTCTTCAAATATATGAATTTCTGACATTTTTCTTTGAAAACCGTGCTACCACGGGTTTTGTGTAAGTCATAGGGAGTTGTTATTTAAAATATGTCATCACAAAATCTCAAACAAAAAAAATCAGAACATATCGAAAACTATGTTATTCCATTTTCTAACCTTCACCACGAAGAAATAGAAATCTTTTATGACATAAACTTTTCTTTTATGAAAAAAATCACTAAATATGGTCAGATACATGCATTTGTATTTAAAGTGAACAGATATATTTTGCTATAGTTTGATGGACAAAAGATTACACTCACGATGGCTGTCCCAGTTGTCTGCAAACAACTCGGGCGTTGGCTGGATACCAGTGTGGACCACACATTGTATGCCATTTCTGGTTGTAATGGGCTTCCACAATATAACTTCCATCCTCAGACTCAAAGTTCGTGAGACGAACCAGATCGAAACCTTAAAAAATTAAACAATGTGCTTCATTTAAAAAAAACATGGCGATTTTCTTTTACTTGTTTTAAATATCTTACATGTACAATATATATAATGAATTGCATTTAAAAACTTTGATGATCCAAAAATTAAACTGCAACATGGATTTTTTCCCAAATAAAACATAAACACCCATTCCCTACAAAATGTATGCTTCATGATATGAAACACTCAATTTTTTATGAACCTGCAAGGAGAAATTAAAATAACAAGAGGCCCATGGGCCATATCGCTCAACTGAGAAGCTTTGACCATGCTTTTCTTTACCAGATTTGCCCCTTGTAATACATATTGTGAACCCACCCTACCCCACTGATCATAATTTTGACAATTTGAAAACTACACTATTTCAGGATGCTTTCACATAAGTTTCAGCTTTTCTGACCCAGTGGTTCTTGAGGAGAAGATTTTCAAAGATATTCCGCCCTATCCCCGGGGGTCATGATTTGAACAATTTAGAATCTACACTACCCGATATGCTTCCACATAAGTTTAAGCTTTTCTGGCCCAGTGGTTCTTGAGAAGAAGATTTTCAAAGATTTTTATAATATATTTCTATATGAAACTTTGATTCCCCATTGTGGCCCTGCCCAACCCCAGGGGGTCATGATTTGAACAATTTAGAGTATACACTACCCCAGGATGCTTCCACATAAGTTTCAGCTTTTCTGGCCCAGTGGGTCTTGAGAAGAAGATTTTTAAACATTTTTCCAATATATTTCTATGTTAAACTTTGATTCCCCATTGTGGCCCCGTCCAACCGCCGGGGGTCATAATTTGAACAATTTAGAATCTACACTACTTGAGGATGCTTCCACATAAGTTTCAGCTTTTCTGACCCAGTGGTTCTTGAGAAGAAGATTTTTAAAGATTTTTCCTGTATATTTCTATGTAAAACTTTGATTCCCCACTGTGGCCCCGCCCTACCCCCGGGGGTCATGATTTGAATAATTTGGAATCTACACTACCCGAGGATGCCTCCATATAAATTTCAGCTTTTCTGGCCCAGTGGTTCTTGAGAAGAAGATGTTTAAAGATTTTTTCTGTATATTTCTATGTAAACTTTGATTCCCCATTGTGGCCCCGCCCTACCCCCGGGGGTCATGATTTGAACAATTTAAAATATACACTAGCCCAGAATGCTTCCATATAAGTTTCAGCTTTTCTGGCCCAGTGGTTCTTGAGAAGAAGATTTTTAAAGATTTTTCCTGTATATTTCTATG